TCCTTCGGAACCTGGGTTGACTCCTTCTGCCTGACAGTGGCCCCGCTGTGTGCTGTCCCGCCCTGGGGGATAGGGGGCTCCTCCGTGGGCCAGGCTGTGCAGTCACCGAGAGCCCGCTGGTCCTGACATTCAGGGACGCGGCCGGGGACCGCGAAGGGGCCATGGGGACCGCTCACCTACCCTGCGTCCAGCACCCACCAGCAGGTCCATGTGGCGCGCCGGCCTCTGCTGGGTAGCTTTGTCCCAAACGAGGCAACAGATGTCCCGAGAGGGGCCTGTAAACGATAGAGAATCTGAGAGGCCCATCACCAGGATGATGTCCTCCAAACTGCCCTCCTCCAAGCCCTGGAACCCTCCGTGGCTCCCAAGTGCCCAGAGCACAGAGACCAAAGTCCCAGGCCTGAAGTTCCAGAACTGGCAGGATGTACCCCTTCTGCTTTCTCCAGTCTTATTCTCTGAAATGCCCCTAACGAAGCACCCAGCAGGTGCTGGGACACCCAGGCCCCCGCCCCGGGGGTGGGAACATTTGCCTCAGGGGACACTCGGGCCAGGCTGGGGGCCAGAGGCACATGACTGTCTAGAGTTGGGCAATGGGGGCTCACAGGCTGATGAGGGCTCCAGGCCCAAGAGGAGAACACAGGCCCCAGTGGGGGAAGGCCCCACAGAGGCCCTCAGGTCCCCCATCAGAGTCAGGGTCAAGGTCGTGAGATGGAGCCAGGGGCTTGAAGCTCAGCCTTCACCACCCCTGTCCGGCCAAGCAGCTCTCGCCAGAGCTCGGGGCCTCAGACGCCTCGTCCAGACGTGGGGGAAGACACCCCGGTGCCCCGCAGACCTGCTGGATCTTCTTGAAGGAAATGAACAGAAGCCTCGGTGGGAGGCAGGTGAGGGTAGTTGGCCAGTCGGTCCCGGAACCGAGCGGCTCAGGTGCCCTCGGGGCCGCGTGCTGTTGGCACGGCACAGGCCCCGGGGCAGACAGGCCGTGCTCGAGCTCCAGCTGCTCTTAACTTTCACAGGTCTGGCTGGCACTTTACAGTTTTCGAGGGGCCTCCCTCCCTCCCTGGGAGCCAGGGAGCCGTAGTGATTGCTCACGTCCCTCAGACGTCCGATCACAGGTGAGGAAACAAGAGCTCCAAGAAAGGAGAGAGCTGCCCAAGGCCCCGTGGGGACTGAGTCCCCTCCCCCACCCCAGCCCCACAGACCTTCCGGGGAACTTCTCTCTAGAATGGCCGTGGAAGGCCCGCCTCGGGATGGGGACCCCCCCCCACAGCTGCCCCCAGGCCTGGTCTGGCTGACGAAATGGCTAATAGTCAAACGACAGCAAGGAGTTCCCACCTCCCCTACCCCCACCCCACGCACACACACTGACCGCAAGCCCACGGCAATGACCTCCCTTCCCTGCCCATCCTGCCAGCCACAGGCCCGCTGGGGCCTAGAAGTCACTGCCAGGGACCATGCGGCCAGAAGAGGAGACACCCCAAACAGCGGGCCGGCCGCAGGCAGCTGCCTACCGTGACGTCTCTTCAAAATCGCACCAGCCATTTTTCTTAACTAAAAAGAGTATTAGTCAAAGCTACAGAATACACAGTACCAGGGGCACCTGGGGGGCTCAGTCGGTTGAGCGTCTGACTTTGGCTCAGGTCATAATCTTGTAGTCTGTGGGTTCGAGCCCCGCGTCAGGCTCTGTGCTGACAGCTCAGAGCCTGGAGCTGCTTCGGATTCCGTGTCTCCCTCTCTCTCTGCCCCTCCCCCCACTCACTCCCTGTCTCTGTCTCTTTCAAAAAAATAAATAAACAGAAAAAAATACACAATACCCAACACTGTAAAGCTACAGTGATCAAGACAGCGTGCTGGGGGAGGGGAAGAGCAAACAGATCAATGGAGACATTGGAAATAGGAAATAGGGCCACGTAAATCTAGTCACTGACCTTGAAGGAGCACAGACAGCACGACGGAGCAAAGACAGGCTCTTTGACAACGGCGCTATGGACCCCCCAGACACCACATGCAGAACAATGAATCTACACACGGACCTCCCATATTCACGAAAGTTAAGTCAAAGCGGATCATAGACCTAAAATGCAAAACTTTGTATAAAGCTCCTAGAAGATCACAGAGGAAGAAGCCTAGACGACCTTGGTTTGGTGAGGGCATTTGAGACTCGAGCCACAGGCACGACCCGTGAAGGAAATAATTGATGAGCCGGACAGCGTTACAGTTAGAACCTTCTGCTCCATGAGAGATGCTGCAAAGAGCATTAGAAGATAAACCACAGACGGAGAGAAAATGTTTGCAGCACACGTCTGATGAAGGGCCGCTGTCCTAAGTACACAAAGAACTCATAAAAGTCAGGAAGAAAAACAACCCAATTACAAAATGGGCAAAAGATCTGAAAAGATACCTCACCAAAGATGGAAAATAACATATGAAGGGGCTTATTTTAACCCTATTTATGACAAACGGGCACATGATAAGATGCTACACGTGCTGTGTCATCAGGGAATCGCAAATGAGGACAAGCCACTGCCACACACCCGTGAGAACGGTACAAAGTCCAGAACCCGGACAGCACGCAGTGCTGGCGAGGACGCAGAGCTGCAGAAACATTCAGCCACGGCCGCTGGGAGCTCAGGATGGTGTGGCCACTGCGGAGAACCTTGTGGTGGCTTCTTACCAAACTACTCATGCTCTTCACACGGCCCAGTAATTCCTGTCCTCGGCATTTACTCAATGGAGTGGAAAGCTTATGTCCACATAAAAACCAGCCCATGGATGTTTCTAGAAGCTTTATTCACAATTGCCAAAACTTGGAAGCAACCAGGATATCCCCCAGCAGATAAGCTGGTAAATGGACACTCAAGACCATGGACTATTTCTCAGCACTGACAAGAAATGAGCTATCAAGCCATGAATAGACATACAGGAATCGTAAGTGTGTGTAGCTAAGTGAAAGATGACCATGGACAAGACTCCACACCATATGATTCCAGCTCCGTCCCATTCTGGAAAAGGCAGAGCTATGGACACATAAAGGATCGGTGCTTGGCAGCAATGGGGAGGGAAGAAATAAACAAAGAAGTAGAACACCAAGGATTTTGAGGGCCATGAAAATACTCTGTGTGATGCTATAATGGTGGACAGGTGTCACTGAACATTGTCTACACCCGTAGAATGTACCCCATCAAGCGTGAACTCTAATGTCACCTACAGACGTTATGAACAACTACATACCACCATCCGCACGTCAGTTGTGACAAATAGATGTTTAGAGTAGGAGTGGGGAGGGCGGTATATGGGAACTCTGTACTTCCCTCTCAATTTTTTTGTAAGACTGCTCTATTTTTTTTAAATGTTTTATTTTCTGAGAGAGTGAGAGCGAGAGAGAGGGAGACAGTGTGAGCAGGGGAGGGTCAGAGAGAGAGGGAGACACAGAATCTGAAACAGGCTCCAGGCTCTGAGCTGTCAGCACAGAGCCCGACGTGGGGCTCAAACCCACGAACCGTGAGATCATGACCTGAGCCGAAGTCAGAGGCTTAACCGACTGAGCCACCCAGGTGCCCCGTAAAAGACTGCTCTAAAAAAGTCTATTTTTTTAGAGTATCACATGAGTTACAACCAACAGTGTGCATCCCTGTACATACTCCTACACAGAGTCTTTGGTTTTTTATTTTTCGTTTTGTTTTGTTTTGCTTTTTTACAAACACAAGTTTGAACAAAGCAGCCAGACGGCTTTGTGTGACCCATTCATGTGAGGTATAAACCAGGCAAGACGAACCCACGGCCGTGGGAGTAAGGAGCGTGGCCCCTGGGGTAGGACAGCGGCCAGAAGTGGATTGAGAGGCTTCTGGGAGCTGGCCGGGTTCTGTTTCTGATCTTGTGCTGGTTACGTGCAGGGTTGGGTTTGTGAAAACCCGTCGAGCTGTATACGTCTGTGTCCACTTTCCTGTGGGTTATACTTCATTAGAAAGTTCCAGAAAAAATAGTGCTTGCGGCAGAAAACTGGAAATCCCAGAAAAGGAGAAGGAAGATGGCCCCTATTGTCCATACTCTGCCCACTTGGGGTGGGGGGGGGTCCTCAGCCCGAGGCTGCAGACAACACTCTCCCCTGCACCCAACTCCCACTTGGTCCTGGGCTGGGCAGGGGTCTCCCTCCTCCTTGGGGGCTGAGCCCCGGGCCTGCCAGGAAGAGGGCCCGGAGAGCTCGAGAGGGCCATTGCGGGTAAATCGCTGCATCTTGGACGAAAGATGTTCTCTTGGTTCAGGAAGTACCCCCTTGATGCCATCTTGCAAGTCCCAGAAGCCAGAAGACCATCCCCGCCTCCAAAGGGTCCCCGGGTTGGTGGCCCCCCAGCCAGGATCTGGGTGTTGAGGGGCAGGGATGCCCAGGAACACTCTGGGATAGGTACTTAAGCTTCCCCCCACCACCCACGCCGGGCACCACCCCGTGTCGGCTCCGAGCGATCCCCAGGGCGCCCCACGGCTTCCAGAGGCGGTAGCAGGGCGGGGGCCTGGGCCAGGGCTGGGGCCGGGCCGGTGACATCATGAATCGAGCTGTGCCAGTTCCTTCCCGACCTCGGAAACCCCAACATCCCGCTCCAGGAACTGGCCTGTGGAATTGGCTTTGGCTGGCCGCCCCGGGAGTGTGGCGGGGAGGCCCCACGCGCCCCCCCAGCGGCTTGCCCTTGAGGTCCCCCCCTTTCCTTCAGGGGCTCCCAGGAAGCCTGCAGCAGTGTGAGAACCAGCAAGGTCAGCTTCCTCCATCCCCGCCCCCACCCCACCCCCTTAACTGCAAGAAAAATAAACAGCTGTCCCCCTCTCTCCGCAACTGGAAACCCCACCGCAGCCCAGGCCTCAGACCAAGCTGTGGGGCTGACTCACTGGGCGTCGGGGCGGGGGCAGCCAGAAGGGGCTCAGGGCTGCCCCGAGGAGCCCCTCTATGACCTCAGGCCAGACCCCGCCCTATCTGGGCCCCACACTCTTCATCGAGCGGCGGAGGGGGGACTGGGTGCGCGCTGCGTGCTGCTCTCCCACAGCTCAGCATGTGACCGTCGGTCCTGACCTCTCTCGGCCTCAGTGCCTCATCGGCTAAACCAGATGCTGGCCTGGGCACCTCTCACCCTGACCACGGCTGTGGGCAGTGATGGCGGTGGCTGTGGCTTGGGGGGTCCACCCAGGGGCCACAGCCAGGGAGAGGCTTCACATGGACCATTTCAGACCGATTTTAACAAAGGCCTCCCAGGGAGCCTCGCCCCGTCTGGGGTCTGGTGATCCTGAAGGTCTGGCCCTGGCTGGGGGGGGGGGGGGGGCTGCCTCCCCCTCCCACCTGCCTTCTCTCCCTTTCTCCCTCCTCCCTTCTTGCTTTCTCGCTGATCACCTTTCCATTTCTCGAAGCCAGCTCCTTCCCGTGGACGGAGGGCCTGGGTAGGAAGGCAGCCCTTTCTCCCTGGCCTGAGCTGGGGTTGGGGCTGGTGAGGGAAGCCCGGGGCGCCCCCCAGCTCCTCACTTACAACCTGCGCCAGAGCCTTGCCAGGGGCCTGGGAGTCCTCAAGTGCCCTCTGTGCGCTGGGCCTGGGCTGGACCACGGCCTGGGGACAGGTAAGGACAGGGATGAGCTGCAGAGAGATTCAGAGTTCCGGGACCTGCCGTAAGGGGCATGTGGGCCGGCGCCTCGTAGGAGAAGCTGGTTTCAGGAGCGGCTCTGCCAGGAGGACCTCGGGGTGGGGGGAGAGTTCCTGGGGGGGAGGGGGCCTGCCAGCCAGAGGCGTCAGCCCAGGCAGAGGTTCAAAGGTGTGTTGTGGCCAGAATGGGCCACAGCAAAGCGTGCCTGCCCAGGGCCGCGGGGGCTCCAGGAACCCCGGCCAGGGCTCACCCAGAGAAGACGCCGAGGGAGGGGCCGGGAGGCCAGCGGAGGGCCTGGGAGGGCGGGGGCGGATCAGAGGCCACCGGAGTCCCCGCTGTGTTCCCACACCGGACAGTGGGGCAGGTGTGGCCTCAGGGTCAGCGAGCTGCGGGAGGCTGGGGAAAGCCCGGGTGTCTGGCCCCGGGAGGCAGGCGGGCTAGAGCCTCAACCAATTAACCTGCAATCGCCCAGGGAGATGCTAAGGGGATTTGCCTTTTGTCTGGCTAATTATTCTGCAACTACACTTTTCCTTTCCTGGGGAGCTCAGGCCCTTTGCAGAGCTTTAATTAAAAGGGAGCCGCTTTCTCAATTACCCCAAGGGCGGGGTGACCGGTGAAAACCCCAGAGGTCGCCCTCCCGCCCCCCCTCCCTGGGGGCCCAAGCAGAGGCTCTGGGGTATCTTCCCAGGGCCCCGCTCCGGCTCCCACAATGCTGGTGGGGATTATCCGCCCGCCTGGCTATGAGGAGGCTGAGGCCCCAGAGGGAAGCTTCTGCCCTGAGGCCAGGGGCCCACCAGCACCAGCTCCCGCCCCTCTGGGCCCAAGGCACCCCCAGAAAAAGGCGGGAGGCCCTCCCAGGAGCGGGCCGTGGCTGTCAGGCTGGGAGGTCTCCCAGAGGGGACCCAAGGCTAGCTCCTGGGCCCACCAGGCCAGAGGGGGATGAGGCAGGACCCTTACACACCCAGTCCCCGGCCCCACGGGTCACCCAGAAGGGCCAGAGAGGGTGTGCACAAGCCCAGGCTGACCAGCACCCCTGCACCCCAAGGGGCTCAGGCCTGCTGGGAGCCACAGAAGGTGCAGGGAGGAGGAAGAGTCCCCCGTGGGGCAGATCCGGCCGCCGCCATGTGTCTGAAGAGCCTTGTCCACACTCTCAAGTTCAATGCATCTTTGGCGGGTTAACTGCTCTGTCTGTGCCATTCTTGAGCAGCAAACTTCGGGAAGCTAAGCGCTTGTGTTACACCTGGCGCCGTGCCTGGCACGCTTCTTCACCCGGGGCCATGTAGGCCTCTCGGAGTGTGAGTTTAGATAATCCCACTTTACAGAAGAGGAAACTGAGGCTGGCAAAGGTTAGGCCACCCAGCCTCAAGCCTGGGCGGTAACAGGAGGGCCGGGCGCTGACACCGAGGCCACTCTCTCCCGCCACACCAGGCCCTTGCCCTGCTCTGCCCCGTGGCGCCTCGAGTGCAGGAGCCCCTCCCACCCGGCAGTGAGCCCCCCGAGATTCTGCTCCGGGCCTGCCTTTGGGTGGGCGCTGGGGGCTGGTGCTGGGAAAACAACATCACCCCTCACGGCCCCTGGAGCCCCCGCTCCTGCCCTTGTTTGCATGGCACGGGAGACTTCCTGGAGGAGGGGGTGCGCGAACTGGTTTTGAAAGATGTGTAGGAGTCTGCGCAGCAGACAGGACTGGAGGGTCACCTTAAGGAAGGGACAGCGAGCCAGCCAGCCCAGGGGGAGCAGGTGCACCACGGGGGGAAGGAGTCTGAGGTGCTGTGGGTTCGAGGAGGGGCCACGCCAGCTGTGTTCACCAGCCCTGCAGTCAGCGCGGCCCTCGGATCGGACCCTGGGCTGACCCTGTCGGGTCCTGCCCAGGTGGGGCCTGGAGTCCAGACCCTCAGTCCTGCTCAGGGGGTCTGGGCTCCTGAGGAAAGGCCTCTGCTCCCTCGCCCACTCCCCGCTCCCTCCTTCGTACTTCGACTCACCCATCCTTTAATGCATCCTTTAATGCTTCATTCTTTCACCCGCCACCTTTGGGAGGCCTGGGGCAGGTGCTGGGTTCAGGGCCCCCGGGGGAGAGGTCTTCCAGACGAAGCTGACAACCGGCAGTGGCGGAGGTGTGAGAGCATCACTGGTTTGACCCCCAGGTCACCGGGCCACTGCCAGGGTCACCAGGGGTGGAAGAAGAGCCAGCGGCCCAGGCCTGATATGATAGCCAAGGCCCTGCACACGTAGCCGCAGGCTCTTGAGGGCAGGGGACCCCGGGTCCTGGCCCAGTCTCCTTGCTGGCGGCTCCTTCAAGCAGGTCCAAGCCTTTCTCACCATCGCCTCCCAACAGGAGGCCTGGGGTCTGGGGAGTGTCACCTCCGGAGGCTGATCAGCACCTTGCCCCACCCCCAGCCACGGGCACGGCGGGCTCAGCCAGAGCTGCCCTCTCCACGGGGTGACAGCCAGCTGTGGCCAGGGGCAGCCAGACCCACCGGGACGTGGCAAGTGTGGCATCGGCCATAGTCCCAGGTAAGCCACGGCTTCCCGGTGCCGCCTGCCCTGAACGTGACCTCAGTGACTAATTAGCGTGGCTGAAAGTTCTCGAAGCGCTTCTGGAACTTATCTTTCATGTGCCAGTTTCACTTAGGAATATTCGAGCACACAGTCTCGTGGCTTTGGCTTTCCGATGGAACTTTCCTTCAGGACCTCCAGCCCAGTGGGGGGTGACGGGGTCAGAGCTGGGCTGCTCTGTCCCAGGCCCCCGGGGTGGGGAGGGGGGTTGAGAAGCCAGAGCCAGGGGACCCGCCGATGTGGCCTGGGGCAGACCAGGTCCTCTCTGAGCCTGGCGCACCATCCACAGAACCCCAGCCTTGGACCCCCTTCCTGGTCGTTCGGCATTTTTGGCAGCAAGGCCCCTTTGTCAAACTAACTCTTCTGTGGAGCCCTGACGGTCAAAGCCGGCCACAGCAGAGGCGCCCTGGGCAGGCGGGTCTGAGGGCCAGCAGCCTCGGGACAGAGCCTGGGGCTCCCAGAGGCCATGAGGACAGCCCGATGTGCCAGTCTCCACCCCACCCCACACCCACCCGAGCCCCTGGGGGTTCAGGCCTCGGACCCCCCCCAAACATACTTCCTGCTGGCTGTGTGCACAGATAGAGGCCCCCCCCTCCCCGCCCCTGGCGTCCTGCCTGGCTTGGTTTGGTGCTCCCTGAGCCCCACAGCGTCCTGACTGCCCCACAGCAGGACAGAGGGATGTCCACTTCCTGCATTTCTCCAGAACGACCTCTTGGACCCCTGAGGATGGATTCAGGGCCTAGTGCAGCCCCCAGTCCGGAAGTGACCCTGGACCTGGCTCTTAGTGCCCCGTTCACTGGGCAGTCTTGGTATACAGTGGGCGCTTAATAAATGCACTCACTGGACAAAGGCTCTAACTGAGCTCTGATCTTACAACCTGAGCCCAGCCAGGGCCTCAAGCCCAGCCCCCCAACTCCCACCCCCCACCACCCCAACCTTCCCCGCCCACCCCAGTCATTTCCCCTCCAGCCAGAACAGTCTGCTTGCTCCCGCATTCGCTCTGCCAGGTGCAACACTCCTAGGTATTTTGTCCTTAGGTACTGTTTTCTGGTATTTATGGCATTTTCTCATCACGGAACCAACGTCTGGTACATATCCATCCTCTGGGTCAACAGAACATTGCTCTATTTCCGCCGCGCTCTAGGCCCTGTCACCGCGGTGTCACCGGGCTGCAGTGATGCAGAGCCAGCAGGGGTCCCATCCGAGGACGTACGTGGTGGCCCAACCAACCGGTGAGAGGTCTGGGGAGCGGGCCGCTTCTAACATTAAAGCCTAAAAGGGTCTTCGTGGGGCACCTGGGGGGCTCGGTCAGTTAAGCATCCGACTGCAGCTCAGATCATGATCTCACAGTTTGTGGATGACTTCAAGCCCCGCGTCGGGCTCCGTGCTGACAGCTGGGAGCCTGGAGCTGCTTCGCATTCTGTCTCCCTCTCTCTCTGCCCCTCCCCTGCTCACGCTCTCTCCATCTCTCAAAAATAATAAGTAAACGTAAATAAACAAATAAAAGTGTCTCTGGGTTGGTGACCGCCAAGCTGAGGCCTGAGGAACAGGATGGTGGCCCCACGGCTCTTTGGCAAGAGCACCCCAGTCAGAGGACGCCTCACCGGCCCCACAGGCAGGGCCACGACGGGGAGGGATTCCACGGATCCTGGACAGACCCTCACCAAGTTGGAGGTGAACCAGATAGTCCTGGGCAGGAGGGGACGGGTGGGGACAGAGCAGTCACAAGGAGGCTAAGCACCACCACTTACCACATGTTTATTGGGGCAACACCTCAAGGGAGGGGCCTCGGAGCCACGGGCCGGGCCGTGGGGACCCCCGCCCGCCTCAGGCAGCTGCTTCCCTGCTGGCTCAGGAGCATGAGCGGAGCCGGCCCAGGCCTGCCCCTCCCCTGAGGGCCCCGCACCTGTCTGGGGGTCCGTGATGCAGCCCAGGGCTCACATCTCTCCCTGACCCCAAGCTCTGGATGCAGCACCTTTCATCTGCCCTCTGCCTTGGTGGGCCCCTCCCCCACTGCCTCTGGGACATCATGGAGATGTCACAGAGTCTATCAGCCTCCGGGACATCCAGGTCCTAATCCCAGAGCTGTCTGTTTCCTTCCAGGGTACATGTGATTAAGGGAGGGCCTTGAGACGGGGGACTGGCCTGGGTGGCCGGAGGCCCCCACCTGCGATCACAGGGGGCCTGCCGAGGGGGGGTTGTGACGCACCCAGAGGAGCCCGCCACACGTGGAGAAGCACAGACAGGTGCTCGGGTGCTGGCCTTGAAGGCTGGAGCGACACAGCCTCGAGCCAAGGCTGCGGGCGGCCACCGGGAGCTGGAGCGAGTCTGGCGGGACGCACCCCTGCCAATACCTTGGCCTTGAACTCTGCTCCTCGGAACCGTGAGAAGGTGCACGGTTGTTCAGAGCCGCCCAGGTCACTGTCGTTCACCAGGGCGGCCTTGGGGAGAGAGCAATCGGAACAAGCGCTTCTAAATGGGGGGCCGTCTGCCCCCCACATTGTCCATGGAGGGCCCGACGAATCCTGAGCCGGGGAGGGCTTCCGCAGAGCCGGCGGGATTTCCAGGCTGGAGGGACACCGGGCTGAGCCGGCGGGAGGCGGGAAGTTGCCCGGCTAGTTCCCTACAGGACAGCAGGGGTGGGCGGGGCCCGCAGGGTGGGGTCCCCCAGAGAGAGCGCAGGGTGGGGCGTGTGGGGACAGGCCGGCTTCGTGGCTCAGCCGAGCGTGTGCTTCAGGCCCCAAGCCCGCCACCCGAGCCCTTTTAAGAATAAAAACAAATATTTGTGTTGCATGCTGTGTGTGTTGGGGTTTAGTTTTCTTCTGGAGGCTAAAAATAGGAGCATCTCAGCGTCCCTGCGGGGATCCCTCCCCGCCCCTGCGCCCCGCCCCGTGTTGTGCAAGGCCGGGCCTGGCCCTCCGGGGCTCCTGCCAAGTTTTGACTTAACTGCCGGTGACAGGGGTATGAAGGTATCAGAAGATGATTATGGGATGAAGGTGCCCATTACGGCTGCGCAGAAGGCACGTCCTCGCCGGCCGGCCACACCCAGCGGGCAGGCGGCAGGGCCCGGGGGCACCCACCCTTCACCCAGCAGGAATGACCCCCCCCACTTCAGAGTAAACAGACAACAATGGCACAGCCAATGGGGGTAGCACAGAGCACCTGGGGCAGACCAGGGCGTCGCGGAAGAAGTGACATCAGGGCGACCAGGAGGGAGGCGGGAGGGCCTGGAAGAGAGTAGAAGGGAGGGGTGGGTGAAGAGCCTGCGGGCCTCTGGGGGGTGGAGGGTAAGTGGGGAAATGTAATGGGCCCATTCGAAAGGTGTGAGCGGGGTGGGGGCCCGCCAGACGGCCCTGTCGCATCTCAGGTCCGGGTGCCCCAGTATATACGGCAGGATTCCGGGTATGGTCGGGACTCAGGGAGGGGGTCCACCAGGATGTGGGCAGGAGTCCGGGACAGAGGTCCCAGGGCGCCCCAGAGCGGCAGGAGCTGAGGGCCGAAGAGGTCACTGGCCGCGCCAGCCAGAGAGCCGGACGGCCTCACGGTCATGGAAGCCTCATGAGGGGACAGCAAGGGACCCTGAGAACCTTGAGGCCCAGCCTCAGTCAGGGGGCAGCAAAAGCTAGAGGCCCCGGAGCAGGAACGGGAGAGGAGCGGGGTCCCAGCTGAGACGGGACTTCGAAGACCAGGGAGAGGCTGCAACCTGGGGCTTCCGGGCCCTGAGCCAGGAAACAGTCTTCGGGAAATGTGTAAACTGTAAAGGGTCGTGAGCACAGGAGGGCACGGTGCTTGGGGTCGTTTCCGAGCAGCCCCAAGCCAGCGCTGGGGCCTGCCCGGCTGGGGCCTGCAAGAGGCTTATTCACAGGTACACCTCCCCCGGGAAGACCCTCCGGCTTGCATGTTAGGGAAGGATGGGAGGGTCTCCCAGCCCCTACAGCACCCCTCCACTGATGAGCCTGCCTGGCAAAGGGGGCACTGAGCCAGGGGGTGTGGGGGGGGCTTCCCGGCTTGGGGGACACGTCTGCTCTTCAGTTGGCCTGGATGGTGGGGTGGGGGGTGCCGGGTAGGAGAGGAGGCAGCTGCTGACTTCCACTGGCCCCTGGTCACAGTGCCTAGGTGGGTACTCTCTTCTTATCTTACAGAGGGGAAACTGAGGCAGAGTGGGGGGCCATGGTCACATAGGCAGGAAGTATTGGACCCAGGGCCCCAGTGTTGGAGCCCTGTTGTCCTGGCCATGCCTTTGATTCGAGGTTACACAGGTGAAGAGGGGGCAGGTGCCCCTCCGGCCTCCCTCTGAGCAGCAGGCTGGCCTGAGTCCGGGGTAAGTCCTTCCCCACTACGCTCGAGGGACAGCTGGGCTGCCCGGCCTGGGCGGATCATGCCTCTGGCCTCCTCCGGGGATTCTTGCCCAAGGCCTGAGCTCCGCCCCCCCGGAAACGCCGCTGCACGGTCTGCAAAATACACCCCGAGACCCCTGCTTCTCCCGCTTCTCGCTATCTCAGGAGCCTCTTTGCCCATCTCTCTGCCTCCAGGCTGCAGGGAGGAGCCCCTCGGGCTTTTCCCAGCAGGGGACCCTGTTAGAGCTGAAGGCAGACCACAGCTCTACCTGCCAAAACGCCAGCAGGGCCTGTCGATGGGAGGAAAAGTGGGAGACCTCACAGCTGCCCGGGAACCACGCCGCCTGCCGACCACCTCTGTGCTTCCCCTCCCTCTGTTCCAGCCACGCCGGCCCCCTGCAGCCACCCCAGCCTGCCCGTCACTCCCTCCCCTCCACGCCTCCGGCCCGGCCGGCCCCTCTGCCTGGAACACCCTCCGCCTCTCCTTCCCTGCGCTCTCCATGCGTTAGCTCCCCCAGCTCGCGTGGTCCACTCTGACCCCCTGCTCCTCTTACATCACCTGCCCTGGCTTCTCCCTCCTGCCATGCTGAAGACTCGATGGCTCGTGGCGTTTATTACATTCTCATAGATGCTATTGTCTTACGCCCCCTCCAGACTGTCGGCTCCCGTGCATGGCTTCTTCCCCTGCACCTGACACGTGGCAGGGATGCAAAGTATTCGTGGAATGAATGAGCAATTGTGAGGCAAAGAGATTCTCGCCTCCAGAGGGAACTCCAACGTCAGGACAAGAGAAGAGGGCAGGGGCGCCTGGGTGGCTCGTCGGTTACGCGTCCAACTTCCGCTCAGGTCATGATCTCACGGTGCGTGGGTTCGAGCCCCGCGTCGGACTCAGTGCTGCCAGCTCAGAGCCTGGAGCCTGTCTTTGGATTCTGTGTCTCCCTCTCTCTCTGACCCTCCCCTGCTCACGCTCTCTCCCTCTCTCTCTCTCAGAAATAAATATTTAAAAAAATTAAAAAAGAAAAGAAAAAAGAGGAGAGGGCAGCCTTCCCAGAACCAGAGCCCGCCCTCCCTCCTCCCCCCCCCTCCGCCCAGAACTGTGACCCCTCCCACTCTCCTCAGTGGCGGAGGCCCCGAGAACATTCTCCGGATAGGATAGGATAAGGCCTGAGGCCTGCCCCGAAGTCTCCGCCACAAGGCGGTGGCAGAACCTGATGCCTGCAGCCCGTCCACCTGCCGCTCCCTGGACCGGGCACCCCCAGCTCCTGGAGACCTTCTTGGTAGCTCAGACATGTCGCCACCAACTGCCCTCCGTCTCCCAGAGTCCTTGTCCTTGAGATTTAATGCATCTCTCTTCCCTGGGCCGCCGGGGCCCACGACAGGACACACCCCTCGGTCAGCGGGCAGCGCCCCCTCCCAGGTTGGTTGAGGAGGAGCTCAGGGTCCCGACGTGGCCGCGTTTGCCCAGCGAGGGCAGGCGTGGGGGGCCCGGGGGGTGGCCCGCTCCGTGCTCTCCCAGGCGGGGCCCATCCTGGCTCTGAGGAGGACCCCGGGATCAGCCAGTCCAAATAGAGCGACTGAGGCCCAGAGGAGACGCACGGAGGCCCGTCCTCGAATGTTGTCACTGCGCTGGGGGGACCTCGGGGAACAGCCCAAGGCCTAGCAAAGCCCTGATACCAACAGCCCTGGCCGCCAAGCCCAGCAGAGGGACCGGGCCGGGGGCGACCCCGCTGCCAGCCCTCGCGCCCCACACCCCCACGGCCCGAGGACTCTTATTTGAGATACTTTCCCGCTGGGAAACGAACTCATCAGGCACGGGGTGGCCCTTCAAGCTCTGTTCTGCTCTCTGCCCAGCCCCCCAGCACCCCCCCCGGCTCCACTGTCTGCACAGTTACCCCAGGACCCCCAGAGTCTCTCTCGCCTCCTCCGTTGTGGTGCCTGAAGCATCTCTTCCCCTCCGGCGCCCCTCCCACCGCCCTTCTTCCAGCCCCTTTTTTCTGTGCATCAGCATGGACGCCAGCTCCTCCCAGAAGCCTTTGCTGACTCCCCCAAGGCCCACCCGAGGCCGGGTCCCACGCCCCACTGCCCTCCAGACCCTACTTCCCTCCACGGCAGCCTTGGGTTTAGGGGGCTGACAAGGCCCGTGTGTTCCCCGTTCTGTCCCCCGTCCCAGATGCCGACGAAGAGAGGACCTCACGTTCAGCTCTGGGCCCTGAGGAGCTCAGCCGAGATGGGCGAGCATGCGAAGGGGTGTGTGAGCGGACGGGAGCCGCATCCTGTCCCGCTTGGTGGAAAAGCCAAGGGGCTCGGGAGCCAGAAGTGAGTGTCTGAGCCAGAAACCAGGGAAGGGGCCTTGGGCAACCCCGCCCCCCACCCCCACCCCCAGCCCACACAGGCCAGGCCAGCAGAGCCGCCCCAGCCCTGGCCCCCACACCGGCGGCTCAGGCAGGGGACTTCCGGAGCTGGAGACACCTGCAGAGGCCCCTCCCCCTCCCGGGGGTCCTGCCCAGAGCTGCCAGCCAGACCCCCCTGCTGGGTCAGTCCTGGAAGGCCTGGAGTCCCAAAGGCCGCCCTCGGGCCTCAAGGTGGGTGGGCTGGCCACCCCCCGTGGACCGGTGAGGCCCCAGGAAGGCCACCTGTGTCCGGCGTCTGGAGGGCGTCAGCCTGCCCTGCCGGCCACTGGCCCCTGCCTGCAGGTGGAGTAAGAGGACCCTTGATCCTGGACCTGCGCTGCCTGCTTCTGGGCCCTTCCTTGCAAGGCCGGGAGGGCTTTGCTGTCTACAGGATCCCAGATGGCCACGGAATTCCAGCAGTGCCCAGAGAGCCGCGAGGCCCAGCTCACAAGGGGAAGGGCCAGGCCGTTCCGGCCTGGGTGCTGCTCATCCCCGGGGCCCCAGGGGGCCGTGCTTGCCCAGGGTGCACCCTAAGGGAGCCCTGAGCCCCAGGGTATTTGCCAACCACCCGCCCACCCCTTGGGCCTCTGCTGGGCACCACTGTGGGTGGCAAGCCTACGACCCCCTTGGGACTTCCTAGACTCACGAGGCCCCGAGATGCCCGGGACAGGCTGCTGGGTCCCCGGGTCCCGCAACCCAGAGAAGGAAGGTGGGCAAAAGCTCGGGCCCAGAGGAGGGCAAGGGGTCAGGACAGCAGTGGGCGAGCCCCGGGCTGACATCCGGCTGAGCTTCCTGGCTCCTGGCGGCCCTGCTCCTGGTGCGGCGCCTCCGAGGACCAGCCCCGGCTCCTCCGCTCAAGAAGCTCACACTCTTCCTGTGCGCCAGAGTGCAAAGAGTGACAGCCCCCACTCGCCTCTCCGCCCCAGCCCGCCTGCCTCCCAGCTCTGGGCTTGTGAAGTTCACCCAGATGTCTAACCCAGATCCTCCGGCTGTCTTCCAACCCGGTCTTTCCTGTTCTGTCCTTGGTGAAGACGGAGCATTGCCTCCCCTCCTCCCCATTCCCTTCCCGCACATCTCTGCACGTCCTTGGGCAATGTCCCAGGACCTCAGTTTCCCCTCATGGGAGGAGCTAGAGGAACTGGGGAGAAGGAAGACCCCAGAGGACATGAACTCAAACCCTGATTCTGCCTCTGCTGGACAGAACGCTTGATTCTCTGTGCCTGGGTTTTCCCATCTGTAAAATGGAGCCAGTGCTGACCTATGGGGGGAAGGGGGGAAGGCTGTGGTTACCTGTGAACCAGACCCAGTGTCCGGCACGGTGGGGGGTGTTCAGTATTCTGCAGAGCCTCTCACTTCCCAGGACTGGAGAGTGAAGGAGACGACAGGAGCCCCAGCAAGCTCGCTGGGAAGGCGGCATTATGGGAGGGAGAGGTGTGGGCCGAGGCCATGGTAGAAGAAAGGCCATCCTGGGCACAGCTGAAGCGGAGGCTGGGCAGGGGCAGGCCGTGGTGGGGAGGTCTGGGGACCAATGGCTTGCCGGCAGGGCAGGGGGGGTGGAGACGGGCTGTAGGAGATGAGGCAGAGGGTCAGGAAGGACTCTAAAGGCCACACCGAGGAGCGAACCCCTGCCACCAGGGCCCGAGACCCCTGTGAGCTCTGGCCTCCAGATTGCAGCTGGGCGGACAGTCTGGGAAGCCCTGGGGGGGTGGGCAGTGGGGGAGGGCAAAGCGTGGGCAGGGCACCCTCCACACAGAGAAGGGGGTAGCTGGGCTTGGCCGGCACAGCTTGCTCCCCCGTACCCATTCTAGAGAGGAAAACTGAGGTTCAGAGCTGGGGAAGCACCCGCCCAAAGCCTTTTCCTGTCTCCCAGGGTGTCTCGGCCAGCAGCCACACTCGAGAATAGGCTGCCACTCAGGGCAGGAGAGCCCAGTGAGGAGCCAGAGTCCCTGGAGGTCAAGGCCAGGCACGAGCACTGCTGTTCCCAGGGCCCAGCCCAGCGCCCAGCCTCCAGCACCATCAGATCCAGCGAATGAGTGAGAAACAAATGAATGAATGGGTGGTAGTGTCCCCGCATCCTGCAGTGGGGCCCATGTGACTCACTCCCATCGGGTGACTCTGCCAGCAGAGCCGGAGCACCCCCCACGAATGTGAGGAGGCAGGAAGCTTCCTGGCCTGCCCGGGGCCAGCTAAGAGCAGCGTGGCCAGAGCCCAGGGGTCAGGGGCGTCACCCCGACAGGGATGAGCCACTGTTGTGAAGGGTGGAGTCTCCTGAAATCCTAGCCTCAGAGGCGGAGCCTCGAGCTGGGGGTCAGGTGGGCCCCCAGGCAGGCTGGGCGGTGTGGGCTTGACGCCTCAGGCAGGGCCCCTCAGAGGATGTGCCGGGCGGCCCTGGGAGGCCGGGGCTGGGGTTGAACCGTGGCCAAGAAGTAAGTACAGTCTGGGCACCGGGGCCGGGGCATTCTCGCAGCTCCTTCCTCATTCCTGGCCCTGTGGGAGTAGCCGGACCCCGGCGTTCCGAGGCAGCCGCCACGGCGGATTTGCTTACCGTCTCGCAGGGAACCGGGGCCTCCTGCCAAACTAGCCAGCCTGGGCCCGGGCCCCATGGGCCCCACTAACCACCGAGTGCTGGCCCAGGCCCCCTCCTGCTCCCAGATGGAGAAACTGAGGCCACATATCGGGTAGGGCCACCCTAGAAGCTCTCCATGCCCGAGTGTGGGGAGGAATGGGCTTGGGCTCCAAGTCCAGGGTGTTTTGCGTCCGTCTCCACATCCTACAGGGACATGTCCTCCTCGGAAAGCCCACCTGGTGGCCCCTCGCGGGGATCTAGGTCTAGGGCCAGGCTCCGTGGGTGCCCCAGCGGGCACAGCATGGACAGGGGCTTGTTTGATCAGCGGTTCCGCCCGATGCCAGGCTGCCGGGACAGCGGGCAGTGGCCAAACCGGCCCCGCCGCATGCCTTCCGGCCCTCGGCAGGAATGCCATTCATCCCTGCCGTGCTCGCACGGTTACCGCAATGTGGAGGCTCGGCGGCACCCAGGCCTCTAGGGAGAAGGGCCTGCCGGGGGCTGCCGGGGGCCTCAGGCCACCTTCCCATGCCTGGAGACGGCGAGGAGCACCCCGCTGGGGGGCACCTGAGCCAAAGCCCACCAGCCACACTGACAGATCTATAGGGGTCGTGAGTCCAGCCGCGGACAGAAGATAGGACACACAGGGGCAGACAGAGGGGCCAGGGCCTCCTGGCTGCAGGTCCTCCACCCCCAAGCCCCCCCCAATCCCGTTCTCCTGAGAGCAGCCCCCACCCAGACCCATGGCCTCCCGTCCCCACACGCTGGGCCCATACTGTCCAGAGGGGACTCGGGTCTATGTCCGGCCACCACCAGTGGCCCTTGCTGGGTGTGGTGGCCCCAAAGGTTCCTGGAGGCTGACGTGACTCAAGGCCTTGCTTGGGACCTGGGCAAAGGTGTAAGAATGGAGACACATGGGCATGGTGCCAGCCCAGCCTGCAGAAAGGGGTAAGGAGTCAGAAGGGAGGGGCACCTGAAGGCCAAGGTGGCTTAAGGCTCAGGGCCTGGCCCCAAGTGGACGGCACATGGGTCCGTTCCCACTCCCCGGGGGCAAGAGCTGAAGGGGCGTCGCGAGGGCTCCACACACACTCACTTCTGATTCCAGCTTTATTGGAGCTGGGCGCTCCCCTCCAGGGAAGGAGAGGCACAGCCCGTCGGAAACCCAGCAGCTCTCCTGAAGTGGGGGGGGCGCTACGGGGGACACGCAGTGCCCGGACCGCCACCGCCCCACGCAGGCCACACTGACCCCCATTCGCCCAAGGGAAGGGCTGCTGCTGACAGACAGCTGAGGAGGCAGGGTCTCGGCGGAGGTGCCTGGACAGTGCGCGTGACTCGATGGCATCGGGAGGCCCCAAGAGTCTGTTTCAAGCAGGAGGAGGAGCCTGGCTCGGGGGACCACACGAGGCCGTCCCCTCCCTCCAGTACCCAGTGTAGGTCACAATAATTTAAAAGACATGATAGACATTTTAACGCTATATAACAATATAAGTTAACCAGGTTCCGTGGCAGAGGGTGCGGGGCCCACGGACTCAGCAGTGTCCTGGGACCCGAGGAGGTGGGGGGAGGGGCGGAGAGGTGCACAGATGGGGGGGCATTCATGGCAGCCTGGAAGTGCCCGGAACAGCAGCTGACAGAGTGTCCTGGCATCACCAGGGGCACACAGGGGGGACTCAGCCCTGCTAACGTCTAGCCCACTTGGCGGGTCAGCTGCCTGAGGACACATTTCCACAGGTTTCTAGAAGTAAACACCCTACATTTGGGTGGGGGAGGGCACAGGAGCAGTGGTGGCACACCGGCCCCCGCTACCCACCATCCTTGCTGGCAGGTCACCTCCTCTGTGCCTCAGACTCCCCCAAGGGAGGGTGGGAATGTTCGCAGAGGATGTGTCAGCCCAAGTCCCCGGGTTTGGCGCCCCCCCCCCCCCGCCCGTGGTGTAGAACTGAGCAGGACCCTTCTGGTTCCCCTCTCCCAGGTTTCAGGGCAAGTTGAACTTTAAGAGAGGGTGTGCATGTGGGGACCCTGGGGGAGGTGTCTGGAGGGCAGACACCTGCTGGGGGGGCAGCCGGTGGAGCCCTGGCCGAGTAACATCGTGGATCCAAGTTTTCTCAGCATTGGGATCAGGGCCAAAGGAGGAGGACTGGGCCCGGGGTCACTAGAGAAGTCCCAGCAGGCACCTCTGGGGGTGCAGGCCAGATTTCTCAAAACATGGGGACCGTCTCAGGCCCACATGGATGCCCCCAGAGCACATCTTCCAGGGTCAGGTGCCCTGGCCCGGGGGGGGGTGGTCAGGACGCCCGAGCCCAGGCAGGAACTTCCACTCATGGCCTCGGGGTCTGTGGCTAATTCTTGAGCCATTCTGGGCCTCGGTGTCCACACCTGCCAAAGAAGGCAAAGGCCCCTGAACCGCGCCCCCCCCCACCAGCCCGCTGCCAGCACACAGTGCCATCCTAGGGCACCAGCTGGCTCCAGGGTGGGGGTGGGGAAACTGGGTGCCAGGCTGGAGGGGGGCTGGGAGGGTGACAGCATTAGGGAGGGAACACAGCACTCCTGGAACCTGACGCAGGTGACATTTCGATTTGATATGCTTTTTTAAAAAGAAGGATTCCCGCCCGTGGCTCTCCTCAGGGGCCCCCTCGGGGCAGGGCCAGGAGGGAGCTGTGCACAGAGCTGCCCCCTGGGGTCTAGAGAGGCGGGGAGAGGGGGCAGAGGGCACAAGGGATGGCTAACGCGAGTACAGAGTTAGGACTGGCTATGCCTTAGTGCTAAGAATGCTCTTCTGATACTAAGAAAACATAAATAAAATGTGTCAGCATCTGCCCAGACCACCGGGGGGAAGCCCAGTGGCTGATGCGGCCAGGGAAGAAGTCCTGCGTGGGGTCAGCCGGAATGGCACATCCACGTCCGTGCCACCAGGTGGGGGAGGGGGACACTCAGAGTCTCGTCGTCACGTTGCTTTCCAGGACGTGTGTGTGTCCTTGGGGTTCACTTCCCCGGAGAAAAGAACAGGAATTCGCTGGGCCCCGTCAGGGCAGGGACAGGTGCCGTTGCCCTCTGGCATCGCTCTGCCAGGGAAGTGACAGAAAGGCGGGAAGAGCCCCTGAGGGCAGCGAGGGGGGAGGGGCGCCGGTGGGAGCGGCCCTCCCCGCCCTGAGCTCCCCCGGCCCCCTCCCCCTCCCCTCCCCCCCACCCCGCAGCCAGCAGGGCGGGGTGGGGGAGGGGCGCGCGTGCCGGCGGCTCCGGGGGAGGGGCGCGCTCACTTGCAGGTGAAGACCTCGGTGCGCTCGCTGCACGTGTTGCACTTGACGAAGCAGCACCAGTGGAACTTGCAGTTGCACTGCCACACCTTGGTGTATTGGTGGGTGTTGTAGCCACGGCCGCAGCACATGGTGTCGCAGCCGTCCGCGCCCGGCGACGTGCGGTTGCACAGGCGGCCCTGGGTGCCCACGCTGCCCGTGGCCGCGTCCTCCTCGCAGTAGTTGGGCGACTTCTCGATGTACACCAGGTCCGTCTCCATGGGCTTCTGGTAGCTGCGCAGCTGCTTGATACGCAGGAAGGTGGGCTGCCGCAGGCGGCTGGCCCGCACCACCTCCACCTGCACCGCGGCGTTGTACTTCTCCTTGAGCAGGTGGCCCACCTCGCGGAACTTGGGCAGCGTGGTCCAGCACGTCTTGGTGGTGCACGAGCCCGACACGCCGTGGCACTTGCACTCCAGCTTCATGCGCTCCTCCAGGACCTGCGGGCGACAGAGCGGGGGCTCAGGGTGGGGGGGGCGGGGCCTGGGCGCCCCGCCCCATCACCCCCCCCCCGCACCTGTGGGCGAGGGGGCGGGGCCGGGGCGGGCGGGGCCGGGGCTGAGCGCCCCGCCCCCGCGCTCCTGGACCTTTGGGGGCGGGGCCCGGGGTGGGCGGGGCCTGGTGCCCCGCCCCCAGGCTCCAAGACCTGCGGGCTACTGGGCAGGGGCCCAATGTGCTCACCAGCAGGGTCTGGGCGCCCCCCGCTCCCTCTCGAGAGCTCCAGCCCGGCCTGGAGCCGGCTCCCTGACTCCCCGCTGCATGCCCACGCCTAAGTGCCTCGCCTTCCTGAGCCCCCGTCTCCTCGTCCATTTAATGGGGCTGCTGAGCATAGGTCCCTGCTGCAGAAGACCTTAAGAGTCTGGTGAGAATGTCCAGAACTTGGCAGAACACGGCGTATGTTTATCAAATGTGGTTCACTAAATTCTCATAACCCTTCAGGTCAAGGTGCGGATGAGGAAACTGAGGCTCCGGCCGTGGGGCTTGCTGCATGCAGGTCACAGGGCAGCAGTGTGGCCAGGCAGGTGCTTGCACCAGCCAGGTCAGGAGAAGATGCCCGACGGTGATCCAGGCCCCACCCTTCTGTCTCTCTACTCCCTGCCCTCACGCCTGGGGTAGGACCCGGCATGTAGTTGGTACTTAATAAATGGCCGGCTGTTCACGAAAGCCTGGTGTTTGCATGGAGCTCTGTGCGTGTTTGCTGAAGGACGGAGGGGGTGGACGCGCGGGAGGTGAGTGCACGGGTCAGCGAGGCCCAGGCGTGCCATCTGCTGGGAAGTCGGCCCCCGACCGGTGTTGTTCTTTCTCCCCAGCTCCCCGAGGGCCTGCAACGGGTGCAGGGTGTGTTTTCCTTGGGCCTCCCTCCGTGGTCCCGGAAGGCCGATTCCCAGAGCCAGCCCTGACCCCAGGTACTCATTTACCTGGATCGAAAGGACCCTGCCAGCCGGTCTGATTAAAGATGAGGAATCATTAGCTGCCGCCCCACGGTTGCAGAAGGGCCATTTGTCAGCTGTCCGGGCTCTGCTGGCCTCACTTCAGCAGCCCAGCCCTGAAGGAACTTGGCCACCCTCTGCTTCCTGGGCCAGAACCCCAGCCCTGGCCCAGACCAGGAGACCCACAGCAAATGAATGAATGAATGAATGAATGAATGAATGAATGAAGAAACAGCCCACAGGGCCAGCTACTATCCTAATCACTTTCCCTGCCCTCGCTGCCTGGGGCTCTGGTCCTCGGCAAGGACCTCGGGCGGGGGCTCACAGCCTGGTGTGGGAGGCAGAAGAGGAAGCTGACACAAAATGGCAAGGTGTGGGCGCTCTGAGAGCCTCCCCTGCCATGGTAAGGGGGCTTCCTGGAGGAGGGGCACCTGTGCGCGCTGTGGCTGGAGGGGCAGAAGCTCTTTAGGCAGAGAGGAGGGTGTTTCAGGAGCGGGCAGCACAAGGTCTGCAGAGGAAATGTTCGGCCCACGTGAACATCACATGGGTGCTGGGTGGGCCCTGAGGTGGGTGTCTGGGATCTGGGGGAGGGGGGATTCCTTGCTCCAGCCTCCTGTGGCTGATGTCCTGGGGCTGGAGGTCCCGGACGCTGGGAGGACGAGGGGGTCGGAGGAGGGGAAGGCTCATGTTCTACCAGGGGAGGCCGAGCCAGAGAAGGAATATTCAGACCTGGAATTGAGGGAGCAGAGGTGTCTGGGTTGAGGGCAGGAACCAGAAGTCTGCTCCGGGGTCTAGGTGAAGGGTGGGACACCCCTCCCCCCAGGGAACACATGACCTGGACCTCCTGCCTGCTTCCCACCCTTCTCCCCACACTCGTTCGTCCTGGCCAGACCCCTCTTTCACCTCCCTCACCCTTACCCCACGCTCATGTTTGCATCAACCTTCCCCCGCTCACCTGCCCGAGAAGGCCCTCTTTCCCTGGCTACACTGCCTGCCACATATGCCCCTCCGGCTAAGAGTCACCAGATCGATGCCTCTCAGGGTCCCCAGCCTGGGGGGCAGTGCCCCCACCCCAGGCTGCTGGCCCGGAGATTCCTTCTGTGATAGCCTGAGACCTGGCGGGGGTAGGCAGGCCAGGCGGCCCGTCTCAGCTGCTACAGCCTGCTGGACGGCTGCCCCCACCCTCCGCTGCCACCAGCCCCTAACATCGTCCCACCCATCCCTCTGTCCCCTCCAAGGCCAGGCCGCCCAGCCTCCACTGCCTGTCCTCCTGCCCACCCGCTCAGGCACATTGGGACCCTGCACGGCCAGGCCGGTGACAGCGGGCGATGAAGCCGACTGGGCAGCTGTCTGCAAAGCAAGGAGACGCATCCTCGCTTGGCTGGGTCCCCTGGGCCTGAGCCTCTCCTGGGAAGTGATCACAGGATTCAAGAATGTGCCGTTTCCGTCTCCAGTGCCCTCGAGATAAGAGTGACAGCGATGGTGGCGCCAGCCCTGCTGGCCCAGGAGACCACCTGGGGGTGCGGAGTGACCTGGCCTCACCCTGAGGAGTGGGGCCTCGGTTTCCCCTGACCCAGGTCGTGTGGGGGTGGAGTGGGGGCCTCCAGGAAAGGCCGAGCTGCTGTTCTTCCTGGAACAAGGGTGTGGCCTGTGCTCTGGGAACAGTTGTGGCCAGGCCGGGGTCGGGGGGGGGGGTCCCCAGCATCCCAGTGAAAGCACTTCATACGCCATGGGCAGGCGGCTCTGAGCCTGGCACCGCCGAGGGAAGTGGCCTGCGGCTCCACGGCCTGCCTCACACATTTGTCTCTGGGCCCTCAGTGGTGGCCTGACCCTCCGTGGGCTTGGGACACCCTGGAGGGCGAGGCCCACAGCTGCTCCACCCTCTCACCTGGGCTGCCGTGTGAGATGCGCGGGGGCATCAGGTGAAGCTATCTAGTCAGCGCCTGGCACGTGAGGGAGACAGGTGGCCGTGGGTGAGGTCCAGCCCGGGCGGCCCAGCTTCTCAGCTGGGGACTTTGCATAAGTCACCCCTCCCGGGACCTGAGTTTCCATCCAGACAATGGGAAGGATGTGCCCCCCAGGGCAGGACCCGCACGATCCTAGGTCAAGTAAGGGCTGCGCGCCCAGCTAACGGGGTGGGGGGCTGCCCCAGCTGCCAGCGCCTCACTGACTCCAGACCTCCGTCACCCACGAGAGGAGCCCAAAGCCTCCCCAGCTGGACAAGCTCCTGCCTTACGGGGTCAGTCCGTGGGAAAGAATGGGCTTCCGCCGCTCAACGGTTGTCTCCTTCTGTGCCTGCTGCCCTGTCCGTGCACTCCCCAGGGCAGCTGCTCAGTAAAGGCCACGCCGCCCATGAGGGGTCTGGGCAGGGCGGTCATGGCCTTGGTCTCAGGGAAGCCACCGGTGAGCAGGTCTCGCGCTCAGCCCGTCTGACACTGGCCCCCTGGGGATGTGGTGAACTAGACAGTGTCTCCCCCGAATTTATGTGCACTTAGAACCTCAGCATGTGACCGTATTTGGAAATAGGTCTTTGCACACGGACTTAAGGCGCCAGACGAGCTCATCCTGGGTCAGGTGGGCCCTAGCTCCGAGGACACATGTCCTTGTAAGGGACAGAAGGGAAAAAACAGACCCAGAGGTGGGGACTGTGTGCAGACGGGGGGAGACAGGACGATGAGACCACGAGCCAAGGAGCCACCAAGAGGCGAGCAGGGTCCTACTGTAGAGCCATCACAGGGGACGGGGCCCCGCTGGCCCCTGGATTTGGGACTTCCGGCTCTAGAACTATGAGAATACATCTCTGTCGCTCGGAGCCACCCAGGCCGAGGGACTTTGCATGGTACCAGTCAGCTCGTTTCCCACCCGACCTCCGGGGCCCTGAGCAAGTGGGAGGGGGCAGGGGCGGCCCGGACAAACCATGATGGGGACCAGGGCAGCCCAGCACCGGGGTGCCCTGGGAGGATCCAGACCCAGTTCTTATGGGAACCTCAAATGTTACAGCTCCGCCCACTCCCACCCCCAGCAGCAAGAGGACCCCCACCCCCCAGGGTCACTGCCGCCACCGACGGTGGGGCCTTTGCCAAGAGCCCCAGCCCAGGGTCGAGGTCTGTTGGGAGAACGGGGGGGGGAGGGGCGCAAGGTGCACCGTGTCCACTGTGCAGATGAGCAGACTCTCAGGGGAGGACCGCGCACGGTCAGGGGCAGCACCGGCACCAGAATCCGGGCTGCTGAGCCCTCCGGAGCCCTTTCCCGGGGCCACCCTGCCCTGACGGGCCCTCCCCTCCTGCTCCCTGCCTCAGTTTACAGCTTCAGGGTTCAAGACCCGACATGCTGACCTGCCCACACCCCCTCGGGGACCTCAGGCACCTGCCACGGCACCTGTTGCCCAGACGCGGGAATCCGGCCTGGCCCTCGCGGCCCTGCGCCAAGAGCCCCGTCCCCCGCGCCGGCCGCCTCGCCCGCCCCGGCCACGCTGAGCTGGGCCACAGGCCTCACTGCACCGCACGTGTGACCCCGCCTCTGTTGTGGTGCTGGTCACGGTGCCTGGAATGCCCTTCCCCGCATCTCTGCTACTTACTCAGACACCCCCCACGAGGCGGTAACCGGAGCCCAGGCCTCTGGGCCACCAGCGCCTCTGCTGCTCGCCTGAGGCCTCACTGTCCCGTGCGCAAAGGGAGATAGTGAGACCTGCCTCCCAGGGCTGTTGGAAAGCCCTTCCTCAGGACCTAAGAGGGGCCTCCTCCTCCAGGGAGCCCTCCCCATGCCTCCAGGCAAAGAACCTTGCCTCCCAAGGCACAGGCGGGAATGTGTCCCCGCCTGACAAATGGAGCCCCCTCGCTGTGTGTGAGCTCTTTGGAGGCAAAGATTGGGTCCCTCATTCCTTCCTTCGTCCACTGATTCATTCACCGGGCAACAATTGAACAACCACTGGCTGCACGGGAACCCCCACATCTACGAGATCAAGTCAGTCCCTCGGCCTGGCATTCAAGGCCTGATCCGGGCAGCCCGCCTCCACTCCAAATGCCAGCTCCTTCAGCCTGTGCTCTCCTTCGACCTGCTGGGGGACATCGCCTCCTCCAGAGAGCTCTGCCCCCTCCCCCCCGTCTCCAAGCTCTCACCGCTCCTGGATTTGTCCTCTGCTCCGCTGGGCGGACCCAGTTAATGCCATGGGGGCTCCCATGGCCACGGCCACGTCTTATTCCTCCTTGTCTCCCATGCCCAGCCTCGCTAATGCCGGGCACAAAGAAGGGGCGGGGAGTGTTTGTTGAGTGAATGTGTGAGCAGCTGGTAGGCGGCCCCCACTGTGGTCCCCACGCCTGCAGAGACCCGCAGGCCCCGGCGGCAGCTGCAGGGCGGGAACCAGGCCTGGAAAAGCGTTCCGCTCGGCTGCCGCTCTATCTTGGGCCATCTCGCCGCCATGGCGGCCGCTCCTCCCGGCCCAGTATCTGGGGCCCTCATCTCCCTGAGGCGGGGCCGGGCTCACCCTGACTTCTGCCCCAGTGTGGCGCTGCCTGAGCGTCCTCCGTGATTGCCCCACCGCGCTGCGCCCGCCCCCTGTGTGCTGCTCCTGAAGAGCTCCCAACTTGCAGTTTCCACCCTTCCTCAGGCTGCTCTCTCAGGGCAATCGAGCCGATCGAGGCCGCCTCCTCCAGGAAGCTTTCCTGGTGTGCTGGCTCTACCCCTCTGGGACCAGAGCAGGGACACGGGATGGTGGCCCCCACACCGGGCCCTGGTCTCAGCCCTGCCACCCGCCAGCTGCTGGCCTTGTGTGCCTCACTTCCCCACTCCCAGCCTCAGTCTTCATACCTCTGGAATAGGAGCAGTGAGGCCGCTGGGAGGGTCGGAGGGGTCAGCCAGACCCAGTGCCACCCCGCGGGGTTCAGGCCCCCAAGGGCTCCCCCCAGGAGAGGCTCAGGGCAGGGAGAGCCCACGTGAGGCGCCCTGCCCCCTCCCCGCCCCGCCCTGGCCCCTGCCCCGTGCCCGCCCCGCCCCCGCCCTACCTTCCTGCCCGCCTCGTTGTTGTGCAGGTTCATGAGGCGCCGCGCGTTCTTCTTGATCTCACGGGCGTCCACGAAGCGCCGGGAGAAGTCGATGCCGTAGCGCACGTCGGCGGAGCAGCCGCCCCACTTCCAGCCCTCCGCCTGGTTGTAGTAACCCTGCTTCTCCCGGTCGCAGCCGCAGTTGCTCAGGTTCCCCTGGCTGCAGGCGGCCGTGACCGCGTGGGCCACGCCGGCCGCGGTGATGGCGTACGTGAAGGCGGCCTCCCGGCTCCCTGCAGGGGCAGGGGATGGGGAGCGCGGTGAGGACCCCGGCCTCGGCGCTCGCCCTCTCCGAGCTCCGGGCTCAGCAGAGCGGGGCGGGCGGAACCCCTCTTGCAGGGCTGTGGCCAGGACAGCGCCAGGCCTATGGCTCGCGAGACCACTGTCACCTCCTCTCCCTGTGCCAAGCGCCCCGACCCTGGGGGAGAGCAGGGGCAGGGCCTGCGAAGGGCACTGGGATCTGTGCCCGCCCCCTCCCCGCCTCCCAGCGCTGGTCTCCGGGGACACCCACCCACCACCCACTCACCACCCGATTCCAGGCTCTTTGCTGCCGCCGTCACCCCATCACCAGGCCCCGGCTTCCTGGGTCCCTCCTCTCTTCCAGCACCCCTGCCTGGCTCAGATGCCCCCCCTGAACTGCCCAGACTTTGGGTGCTATCCTCCCTGCCCACCCCACCCGCAGCCACCAGCCAGGGGGCCCACAGCACGGTCTGGGCACGTCTACCCTGCACCCTCACTGCTCCCCTCTGCCTGAGCAAGGAAGGCCCTCAGTCACAGCCCAGCTGGCTTCCCCACCCCTCTCTCCCCATCCCCGGCCCAAAGCAACGTCTCTTTCCTTCCGGTGCTGCTCGTGCGCGTGCTCCTGGGGGCTTCCTGATCTTACAGTGGAATTTCCTTCCCTACTTGTCACATCCTCATGACTTTCCAAAACCGGTTCCAATGCCTCCTCTTCCAGGTAGCCTTTGCAGACTGCCAGCCAGAAGGGGGCCCAGGCTACCCACCTCCACCGGCCACGGATGGGACTCTTTCATCACCCGTGATGCTGTCTGCCCCGTCAGCCCTGCAGCTGAGCTGTCCCAGCTGCAGGGGGGTCCACAGCCCCCTAGAAGGAAGGGTCCAGTGCTAGTTCATCTTTATTTTCCACGGGCTCTAGCTGGGCCCTGGGCATCTTGGCGCCCTGGCCCGGCCTCTCCTGCCTGTGGGCTCCGGGGCTCTCTGCAGGCCACGGCCAGGTCTGCGTGGTCCTCAGTGGCTGGTGCTGTGGACGTGGAGCTCAGGGACGCCCCCTGTAGTCCCTCAGAGCCTGTGCCTGTGATCGGAAAGCCCCAGCAGCCCCCCACCCCCCCACCGCCGAGTGCCTGACCGCTGTCCCTGTTATCGGGGGCTGGAGTGATGGCCTCAGATTCAGAGAGGGTCGAAGGTCAAGTCCTTTCCATGAACATCCGTTAAGCGCAGCCCGCATGCCAGCTGTGTGATTGGCCTTGAATGTGCGCTCTGGGGTCCACCTCCTCACCTTCCCGCCCCCCCGGGGTTTCTCCCATCCGGGCTGAGGACCTGCTGGTCTTAGAGACCCAGGGCCGAGGAAGCTTTGGTCGACCTTTGCCACCAAGGATGAGCCACAGCTTCCTGAAAATGTCCTCCTCTGAGAAGAGCTAAGGGAGGGTGGCGTTGGGGATCCCCTCCTCCCCGGCAAGACCTGGGTCTGCAGAGGACACAGGGCTGCCGCTGTCTTCCCATCCAGCCTCTCGGACCCTTCCTGCCCACACTGGCCCTCCACCCCGCCCGGGGTCGACACGCCACCACCTGGGCCCGCCGACCAACCGTATGCGGCGCTGTCCCCTAGCACTGCTACCATGGGAAGCATCCGTCAGCGCAGGCGCTCTCGAGGGGCACCGAGGAGCCCCAGCCCTGCCCTGGCTGGCTGGGAGCCCCCAGGCAGACACACAGTCAAGGACAGGGAGAATACGGGGCTCGCCCTCCCCAGCTCCAAATCAGGTCAAGGCCACCTGAAGGGAAGGGCGTCGGGTGGGAAGTGGTTATCAAACTCTCTGCTATTGGTGTCAGTGTTGTCTACACCCGCAGGCGTGCCAACAAGCTCACGGGTACACAGGCGCACACCGCAGGGGAGAGCAAGGGAAAGTATTTCAGGGGCTCCAGGAGGGGCGGTGGCCATAGAGCTTTGTAAGAAGGGGCACTGGGCATCATGGAACCTCAAAGGATGTCCTCACCTGCCTCTGTGAGGGGTGGAGTCAGGGAAGGCTTCCTGAAGGAGGGGACGAACACCTTAAGTAAAATGAGTCTTCACAAGAAGTTAGAGTTATCGTCCTGTGTGTGTGTGTGTGTGTGTGTGTGTGTGTATGCGGGTGGGCGTGTGCACTCCTGGCAGTGGGCACAGCAGGACAAAGGTCCAAGGTGCCTCCAAGGAGGGCACTCGGGTGGCTCGGTTGAGCGTCCGAGTCTTGATTTCCGCTCAGGTCATGATCTCACAGTCATGAGATTGAGCCTCGAGTCAGGCTCCAATCTGAGCATGCAGCCTGCCTGGAATTCTCAATCACTCTGCCCCTCCCCCACCAAAATAAATAAATAAACATTTTTTTAAAAAAAGGACCCCCTGGGTGGCTCAGCCAGTTAAGCATACAATTTCCGCTCAGGTCATGATCTCCTGGTTCATGAGTTCGAGCCCCAAGTCAGGCTTAGTGATGCTGGTACGGAACCTGTTTGAGATTCTCTCTCTTCCTCTCTCTCTCTCTGCCCCTCTCCTGCTCTCTCTCTCAAAATAAATAAATAAAAACTTTTAAAAAAATAGTTTACTGATCTGGTGCTAGTAGTATGAGCTCAAGAATAAGACAAGAGGCCGTGGAGGTCTGGGGGAGGCGGCTGGGGGCAGCCGGAGACACCCCATGAAGTGGCGCTGCTCTCTGTCCTGGTCCAGGGCCGGTGCCAGGGATTTGGGTTTCAGGGCCGGCTCTCAGCAAAGTGGGTCAGCAGAGCGGCTCACCCCCAGCTCCCCCCGGCGCGCACGCACCCTCACCCCCACGTCCATTCTCACTGAGCTCCCGGACCGTCGTGCGAGGCAGGCCCGTCCCCAGTCCGCCCACAGCTGAGCAGACTGAGCCACAGGGAGGCTTTTGACCTAGAGGTTAGCGGCCGGAGCAGGATCTGAATGCAGGCAGTGGAATCAAAGCCCAGAGCGGCAGAAAAGGGCCTCGGGGCCTGGGGCTCAGCATGGTCTCTTCGCAGCTAAGGGACTCTGGGCAGCAAAGACAGAAGAGGCACACGCAGCCCCGTGGGGAGGCGTTTGGACCGTCTGTGAACTTGGGGCTCAGCGAGTGGCCGCCAGGTGAACGCAGGGCGGGACCTGGCCACGCAGAGGGCACGTCGAGAACGAGGCGCCCAGGAGGTGGGGTAGGAATCTCAAAGGATTGTGCAATTGCACCGGGAGGCCCGGCCGACGGGGTTCCAAGGGCCACGACCAAGCCCTGCCTGAGCCGGGATGGCGTAGGCGTTCCGGAACGTGCCACCCGACCCTCCCCCACCCCTGACATGCCACCTGGGGGCTGGTGACTCCCACGTTCTGCCGTCCTGAGGTCCCCAAGCAGGCAAGCAGGCCCAGAGGCCTGGCCGGTGCGCCTGGAGGACATTTCTCGAAAGCCTCCTTTCCATCCTCTGTGCCAGCTCCTGGCGTCACCTGCCTTAGACCCAGGCCCCACGCAGACTCCCAGTTACTCATCGGTTACTCATGGGACTGCCACTCCCGCTAATTCCTTTTTTATTTGGTTTTAATGAGCCAAACCCTCCGTCTCGCCATGAAGACAAGGGGGTGTGATGGGGAGTCAGGGGTAGGTTGGGGAGAATCACGGAAGGTGACATGGACCTTGGATCGGGGACTTGGTGGCACTTGCACTCTGCACAGGCGCCTCATGTAATTCCCACGGCAGCCCCTCGGGGGTGGGGGCACCACTGTGCCATTCTACAGACCTGGATGGGGGGCGGTCCCCTCCCGAGGTCACTCCGGGGGCCACCCCACCAGCCCCAAGGGCACTGCCTGCAATCCGCCTTCAGGGTGAGAACAGGTGGGTTGTGGGTTTAGAGAGAAGCCCCTCACACCCGCGGGCCCAGCTCAGCAACCACTGGTGGCTCGCCAGCCCCGCCCACCATCCTCTGCGAGGCCACATGACCTGCCTGCCTGGGGACACACGCAACTCGCCACACACCACCGCTATCGATCAGAGGAGTGGCCTGGTTCCGTGATGCCCACCCAGGTCCCTGAGTCCCCACGCAGCTTCCGGCACTCTGGACACAGCTGGGACGCCCCTGCTCCCGGGACGCCGTCAGGGTGAGGTCACCCTCACCTTCCTCTGGGCTCTTGCCAGGTGCCCGTGGGCTCTCGGCGTGGTGGGCATGACCCTTGTCTGATTATTTTGTGTCCCCCCAGCATCGTCCCCAAGCCCCGCACGCGAGCAGGTCTGGGACTGGGCGTTTTCCACACTTGCCTTCTTTTCTCCGCACAGCAACCTGTGCAATCAGTCCCCTTGCTCAGACCACCTCAAGGATGGTGACACTGAGCCAGCCTCGAGGCGGGAAGCGCTTTGCTCCGGGTGACGGGCTGGGGGGGAGGCAGTGGCCCTCAGCGCAGCACTTGTGTCCGGGGTGGGAGCTGAGTCAGGGCTGCACGGGTGGCCTCCTCGGATCCGGCACACTTCAGTCTCCAGACGTCTGGGAGGCCCACCTGCGGTCCAAAGCCCAGCCCTCCCCTCCCCTGCACGGACCTGCACCTTCAGACACCAGAGCCAGCACCGTGTCCAGCCGGACCCCTGGAAAACTCCAGACAGGCAGGCCGCACGCTGGCCACTCCCCATCTGCGGCCTCTTGGGCCCCGGGCGGGTCCCTGAGTACACAGCCCCCCGATGCAGGGCCGGCCGTTTCCTGGGCAGAATCTGTTTCTGGTGCCTGGCAGGTCAAGGCAAGAACACTCAGGGTGAAACAGCAGGAGGGCACTGGACCAGGAGCCGTACCTGCTGTGTGACTGCAGGCAAATCACAAACCCTCTCTGAGCCCGTGTCCCCATTTACCAAGGGGGCTTACAGTTCTCACCTGCTCCACGCCCCAGGAGCAGCTCCGTGAGCAAAGAGGACAAGCAGCCATTGCCCTCACTCACCATCAGCAAACGGCGAGCAGGCCTGAGGCGGCCGGGGTTGGCCAGGTAAAGCCCTGGGCTCCCTCCCTGGGGCCG